TGTTGCTGTACATCTGTCTGTCTGTCTCTCTCCCCCCTGATGTTGAATTTAATTGAATTGAGTCACACGTGCAGCATTCACAGTAAATAGAGAAAGAAATTTGAGGTTCACAGATTAACACGTCTCGGTCAAAGGTAATGTGTTTGGACTGTGTGTGTGAAGGAAGGAGACGAGCTATCAGCAGCGTGACAGTAAAGAAAGTTAATGGGAGCAAACAGGAGAATTTATGAATACGACAAACAGCATTTTTGGTCAAATTAGTTCCACCTATCTAGTACTGCCCCTGTCAATAAAGCAGGACATGCTGTGTGACCATAAGAGAAAGGTTTCAGAGCTAACAGAGGCAACACATTTGATTCTTAAAAACGTAATTCTTTAACATAAGTTTTTGTCTTTGACCCAAATATTGTGGGATTATTAGTTAATTTAGATAAAGAGATTGACATGAAAGAAAAGGTGATACATGGCAGGAAACCCAGCCAAGATGGAAACAAGTCTTTGAATGGCTTCATTATTTGCTGAACTTGCACTATAAAGCAGTTCCACTTTACTGCCTCACAATAATATGGTAGAAAACATTTATTTTGAAAAGGAACAATATGTATCCTTCATATTTGCCTTTGGAGACATACACTCTCCACAGAACAAGGCTCCAAAAGTTACTTTTAACTTAAAGAGGATTATGTGTATCTGCAAAGCCCGGAAGGAAATTAAAACTTTTGGTCAGAGCCCACAAAAGTAAACTGGCAGAAACATGTCTTCTTGAGGAACTCTAATGGTCTTAAACAGGGAATTAAAGGTCTTGGTCAGTAATGGCCATTAAACTGTAGTCTTTTTACTTAAGCCTGGGAAAGATGCATATTAAACTGTATTATACTATTATAATACATACAGCCTTATTTAGAAAACCTGTGAAGAAGGCTGTTAATAGTATGTCTATTCTCTCTCCTTACTTCTGTTTTTGTTTTCTCTTCATTTTACACCTAACTGAAATTTCAATGAAAGTTAGATGTACATATAAATGAGTTTACAGGATCAAAGTCTTGGATTTGGGTATAGATGTGTGCTCATCAGTTGACCCTACCAATAGAGACAACCTGAAACAATCTTATCATGTTAAACTCCACATAGGATTAGTGGGATATTTTAACAAAAACTGAGAAAGCTATAATCTGGTAGCTCTCAGACTGTACATCACAGAATTAGCTCTACGTATCACTAGCATCAGTCAGTTCATATAACACTCAAGGTGCTATACACAACTTTCAGACTAGATCTGTCACTAGAGAACCAGCATCTCAGACCAAAATAAATGCGAGTGCTGCAGCCCACCAGACTCCATTGACAAAACCACAAATTTTACCTCACAGTCAATACAACACACTTTATTCAACATAAAAGTCACCAAACCTGTCTTTGTCTTTCTACTGTTCCAACAACAATCATCAACTTTGGTTCAGTCGAAATAAACCCGTAATTTACAGTTAGATGAGAAAATAAACACCAAACTTTAATGGCTGCGGTGTAATTCTTGGGGACAAGTTTGTGACTACAAGTGCTTATCTTTGCCACTGACCAACTCAGGTTGTTATTCTAAGTGTCTGACAACATTATAGAAAGGATCACTACTGAGAGACTTTTTTGTTAAGTAGTAAGATATTTAAAAAGAAACAGCCCACTTATCGCCAGACACCAGACTCCTTTGACAAAAACAGTCATTTAACCTTGCAGATAATCATAAAACACACATTCAAAGTCGCCACAAACAAAATTAAACTCACCAAAACCATCTTTGTTAGTTTTTCCAGTGTTCCAACAATCACCAACTCTGGTTTGGTCAAAATAAATCATTAATTCACAGAGTCAGATGAGAAAAACAGCACTTTTAGTTTTCAGCACATGGAAAGACTCAAATGCATTCACAGGCACTAACACGCATGAACAGCCAAGCCAGAGAAGTAAACAATTCTCAGGTATCAACAAAGGGAAAGGGAGTTTGATGTCATTTTATTGTGAAGCAACTACAGGCAATGTATTGTATTTGTCACCAAATACTGTTTCCTGCCATAACTTTGCACACACAACAAGAGCTTTTTCCAGGGCTTTTTTTATTCAGTGGAGCAGTGTTAAATACTGCAGGGACTAACAGTGCAAGCAGAGGCAGCCACAATGCTCTGGTTTGAAGACCTGCAGGTGACAGATTCTTCCTTCAGTCCCTTTGTGAGGACCAGCACACCTCCAAGACGTCATCACGGTAAAAAATAAAAAATGTAAAAAAAAAAAGCCTTTAACTATGCAATCTTTTTGGATGGTTGGAGGCTTTTCTTGCTAAATCTGATTGAATTTTCTCATAGCATGGCATTCTGTGAATGTCCCGGCCCTGTTGTTGACCTATTGATCCACTGAATTTCACATTTGAAGGTGGGTTTCATGTCATGTCCAAAGGATTAGTTTGTTAGTGAATGCCATGCATCATTTAAAGAAAGAAAAAAAATCCTAGCAGCTACAGACTTAAAAGAATCTCAGGTGATTGAAAGGTGAGGTTGGAGCTTAGACATAGCTTAGACCAGTTCAGAGTAGCATATTACT